ATCACGGCAGAAGAATTAGAAGGGGCAATAAAGAGACTCAAGGCAGGGAAAGCACCTGGCCCAGATGGCCTTCCTATGCTATATTACAAAAAATTAAAGGAAATTATAATACCACAACTCAAAAGGGTAATGAACAACATTCTACAAAACGGAACGATACCAAAGACCTGGAAAGAGGCCAGCATAATTGTGTTGCATAAGGAAGGCACGGACCCTCTTGGTGTAAGGAACTACAGACCAATTTCGCTATTAAATAGCGATTACAAGATCTTTACATCAATTCTAGCAGAACGATTAAAAAGTTTCTTAATAACATGGATAAAGGAGGAGCAGACTGGCTTTCTGCCAAATAGAAAGATGAAAGACAATGTCCGAAACATTCTAAACATCATCGAATATTTTGAAAGTCACAACGAGAAGGAACTGGCGATATTAGCGGTCGACGCGGAAAAGGCTTTTGACCACCTAAGTTGGTCCTTCTTTAAATCAATACTTAGAGAAATGGACATAGGGTTCAATTTCATGAATGCCGTAAATACCATCTATGCTGACCAAAGCGCAACTATCAAGATAAACGGGCATGAATCAGAAAGATTTATGATAGAGAAAGGCACGAGACAGGGCTGCCCCCTCTCGCCGCTAATTTTCATCCTAGCGCTAGAAATCCTGCTAAACGAGATCAGGGAGGATAACAGACTGACAGGAGTAACAATACAGAAGGAATCATTTAAACTAAGAGCGTTCGCTGACGACCTTATTTGCACAATACAAGACCCCCTCAGTAACATCAGCCTATGGATAGAAAAAATAGAAGAATTTGGCAAGATCTCAGGCTTTAAAATTAACAAAACAAAATCAATGATGCTCACTAAAAACATTTCAAGGGAAAGAAAAGAAAGATTGACAGCCCTCACAGGTCTACAAACAACAACGAAAATTAAATACCTCGGTATATACATTACGGCGAAGAACTCCCAACTATTAAAAAACAACTATGAAGTAAAATGGAGACAAATTAAAAAAGATCTAAAAGACTGGCAATATTTGAAACTCTCTCTCATGGGTAGAATAGCAGTGGTAAAATCTAATATACTCCCCAAAATGTTGCATTTATTCCAAAATATACCAATAATAAGAAAGAAACAACTATTTATAGATTGGAACAGAGATATCTCAAGATTCATTTGGAATAACAAAAAACCCAGAATTAATTATACCAATCTAACAGACGAAAGAACAAGAGGCGGCCTAGGTCTACCAGACCTCAGGTTGTATTTTGAGGCTAGCTGTATGGAGTGGATCACAGATTGGATTAGATTAGAGAATAAAAAATTATTAATGTTAGAAGGCCACGACCTAAGATCTGGGTGGCATGCCGTGGGTTGTCTTTATTTATACAAGAGAAAGTTTTCACTGCTTCCTGTAATGAAATGCTGTGGGGCCATATCTTGTTTCATTCCACTCTTATCTATTAGTTCCTCAAGTGTGTGTCTTACATTATGGTTGTCTCTTCATACTCCCCATCTGTCCTTCATCTGCATGTCTGAGACTTCCTTGAAAAAGTATTTTATAAAGAACACATGAAAAAATAGAAAGTATACTTATGTCCAAGGAAGTTGGAAAGGTGCATTGTATATTTTACATTTTGCATGTGGTGGTGATGTGCCTTCAAGGTAAACATAAGTGAACCCCTGATAGGGTTTTCTGGGACTGATTGAATGTGACTCATCTAAGGTCACCTATTCGGTTTCCATGGTTGAACGGGGAATCAGACCTGTTTGTTCTCTGGAGCCATAGTCAAATGCTCAGCCCACTGCAACACACTGGCTATTTATTCTTTTATTAGTCAACTTTTCTCCCTCAGCCAGATGTTTTCTTACTATCCCATAGGCAGCAGATAACTCTTTTGAGATTTTTTATATGGATCAAGGCCAACCTGATGTTTAATAAACTGTATTACTTGTTTAACATTGTGTTCTTCCATGGATGACATCAGACAGTGAAATGTATAGACATTCTTCTTCTGTCTTCTGTATCTCTGTGCAGCAAATTACATGCTTCACCTAGGAACTGCAGAGTGATTTACAGCTTTCCTCTGCAGTAAGGGCATTGTCTTGCAACATGAGACATTATGGCCTACAGAAGAATATGCAGGATGACTGTTTTCCTCTGTGTGTGGAAATCTGTACTACATCATCTGGGAGTGAATTCTGAACCCTGTATAAGGTGTTCAGAGTCATGGCACATGTTGTGTGACAACAACACTTATTTGGATGATGTACCATTTGCACCATGCCTTTTGCACTGTATTTTTATAATACATTAAATATAAGTGACACTAATGATATTAATAATATTTCTTAGCACTTCTATGTATCCAAAATTATCTATATTATTTGGATGATGTACCATTTGCACCATGCCTTTTGCACTGTATTTTTATAATACATTAAATATAAGTGACACTAATGATATTAATAATATTTCTTAGCACTTCTATGTATCCAAAATTATCTATATTATCTTCTTGTAATTTTTATAGCCTGCCCTGTTGAACAGTCTTCTTTATCCTGGTAAACTCCATTATCTTCAATTACAACTTCTCTTATCTCACACTGTGAGATAAGAGAATGTGATTGAGTATTCCTTACCTGGAAATCCAAAATACTCCAGAACCAACACTGACCACATGAGTGGCTGAGATAGTAACATTTTTCCTCAAACTTGCTTCCATGCACAAAATCCTTAATATATTTAATAAAAGTACCTTCATGTTATGTTTACTTTCTGAAACATTAATAAATTTCATGTTTAGACTTTGGTCCCATCTCCATGATTGGAATATAGCTCCAAGATTTGGAGTATAGTCATTTCTCAAGTTGGAAACATCCAACTTACAAACAACTCAAAGTTAAGAATGAGGGCGAGACAACAAGTGAGAGAAATCTACCACTGAAAGAGAAATTCACTACTGTAAGGGTTATCATGATAAAGTTTCTTAACTGAAACTTTATCATCAGTCCTTGCACTGTGCTCTGGCATCATGAAATGCAGAGCCAACCTTAAGAAATGGGGCATAAGTGAATACTAGGGCTGGGCGGTTTCATTTCGTTAATTCGTAATTCGTTAATAATTCGTTAATTTTTTCAATTACAAAACGATAACGAACCATTCTGGAGCAATTATTAAAAAAAACGAATTTTCAAAAACGTTTTGTAAATGCTTCGTATTTCGATATTGTATTCGTTTCGTTATTGTTTTGAGGTCGTTTCGTTTTTATTTCCGCATGTCTGGGCCAGTTTTATGGTTTAATTAGTGAAAAAAAATTATAATATCACACCAACAGTCAACAACAGAGGGAGAGGGAAGCTTCAGAAGGTTTTGGAGGTTTTTTAGCGTATTTCGCGGTCGCGTCCGCCATTAACGAATCGATTCGTTATTGTTTCGGAAATCGATTCGTTAATTTTTTACCATTTACGAAATTTCATAAATATCGAACTTTTTAAAAGGAAAATTTTGTAATTATTTTAAATATCGAAACAAAAAAAACCCCCAAATACAAATCGATTTTAGAAACAAATTTTTCTGTTGTTACCTAGGCCTAAAGTCCATGACATGTGAGTGTGGAGAAGAGCAAACCACAGACCACCAGTTACAATGCAGTCTAAACCCTACCACATGCACAATGGAGGACCTTCTTATAGCAACACCAGAGATAGTCCAGGTGTTCAGCTAATGGTCAAAGGATATTTAGTATAATACCAAGTTTTTAAACTTTGTGTTTTTAATTACATTACAACTGTATCCCTAATTCACTTCTGACACAATAAATAAATATCAGTCCTTGTTTCCACACCAAGGCAACGTTTCCAAAATCCAGTTATCACAGGGACAGAAAGTGAGGTGAAATCTCCTGAACAGATAGCAATTTGGGTAAGAGATTCTCAACCTACATTTGTTGTTAACTGCTATCAAGTTAACTTTGACATATGATGACCAGATGGATGAGATCCCTCCAAGTCACTCTATCATCAACAGCCCTGCTTAGGTCTTGCAGACTCAATTGCAGCAAAACATTGCACTGTTTACTGTTACATATTGTGTATAATGCGTACTGTTACACATCCTTCATAGACCCTTCTATAATGCAGGGAGGGGACTTTTCCTGCCTCAATCAAATCCTTCTGCTAGGCCCTTTGGACCTTCATGTATGCCATTCCACCTATCTCTGTACCTCCCTCCCCATTTTCAGCTGAATCTCAAACATTTTAGAAAAGAGATGGACAAAATGTGGCCCTCCAGTGGGTCAAACTTCAGCTGCCCATCAGCCCTAGTGTGTGTAGCCAGTGGTGAGATAAGAGGAGTTGAATTTAAGCAACATCTGGAAGGTCATGCAGCTCCCCTCCCTGTTGCATACTATATACAAATCCTTGACAAGCTGTGTCCTTTAAAATTTAAAATCTCTATTTTAAGTTAGAGCTTAACTACTTATCTACTTCTGTTCCTTCAATTTCTAACAAACACTACATAATTTTGTGGGAACTGTTTTACTTCAAAACTGATAGCACTCCGCTGATAGTTAAAGGGAGAAATTATCCTCAAGTTGTAGATGGAGGTCTGAGACTGAGAGAAAATGGCTTTTCTAAGGTCACCTACTGAGCTCATGGTGAGATGTGAATTGAGCATTAGTTGAGCTCAGTGTCTTGCCCTCTCACATAGTATAAATGGAGAACATGTCTATCATATCTTTTTCTTGTAAATAAAGTGATCCATCTTTAGTTTTAAATGAATTGTATATTGTGGCACGGCATAGAACGGTTGATTATAGTTGTGCATCAGTAGTATAAAGAAATGAGCCATGAAAATTTAGAAAATGTATCTATCTTAAGTTGCATTGTCTGTTGATAAGTAATTTCAGCAATCAAAACATCAGACATCCTAGTATGTAATTTAGGGTGTGTTTAAACTCCAGTCTGTATGCATTGTCTTATTTTTTGTAGGTCTGCAACCTCTGGGAGACTCTGAGGAGTGGGAGATTGTCTACCCAGCACTGTGGAGCAGGGACCAACAGGAACCCATAGGAGGCAGTGGTGCGGGAGGCAGCTGCAGTCCCGATGGAAACTGTGGAAATAGCAGCAGCAATATTAGTGCTACCTCTGCATCCACTCAGGTGGTGGGCAGCTCTCGTGAGGTCCGCTCGGTTTCTTTCTCATCTAACAGGCAGTTCCAGCCAGTTGGGGAGACTTCCGAGGATGAGGTCTCAGAGGACGAATATGAATCTCAGGAGTTCTATCACTGGTCTCAGGGATCTAATGCTACTTCTCAGCTACCACCTCCTCCACCTTTATCTTCTTCCCCAGAGGATGGGGATGAGGTGCTGCTGAGAATACCAGCTTTCGCTCAGGAGCTCTATCTGCTGCTCAAGAGAGACAGTCGCTTCCTGGCACCAGGTTTTGCTGTGGAAGAACGACTAAAGAGTGAGAGGAGGAGTCTTCCATATTCTGCCAAGACCCACACAGAGAGATCATGTTACTACAGTGGGTCTGTGCTACATTACCCTGGCTCCTTTGCTTCCTTCAGCACTTGTGGTGGTTTGGTAAGGATTATAGGCACCAATTTATTCTCTTCCAAGTTTCTCCCTCTTCACTTGATTTTGACTTTCCTTTTACAAAAATTGCTTTTTTCATACATTTTCTTGGTGTTGCCTCTTTTTGCCTGACCCCTCTTGTTCACATGTTCCTAGCTGCATTTTCCTAACTTTCTTGCTTTCTAAGTTCCTATTTTTTCTTTAGTTTAATTCTACATTGTCACTTTCTCCATTTCTGTTCAAAGCCATCTGCACTCATTATAATAATGTGGTCCATATCCTCATTTTTAATTTGAGCTGTACTTTTTAAAATTGCCAGTTCCACAATTATGCAACCACATACACACAAGATGTTTTTGACACAGGCTGCATCCACTTGAACATAGAGAAATAGTATCAAGTATGCCTAAAGTCATTGTTCAAAATATATGGAAATTGTGGTAGTGATTTTATTTACTTCTTATAGACTTTTCACACATAGGAATATTTCTCTAGTGAAATCATGTGATATTTATTTTTGAGTTTACCTATACTGTGAAAGCTGTCAGGTATCCTAAATATATATGAGTTCTCCTTACTGTGGTAGATAACAACAGACCAAGATGTATTGACTGGGATTTCAGTCTAATTCTATTATTGAGAACAATCCTGTTCATCAAAAATCTGTGTAATCTACTTTATTTCCTAAAGATGCCAGACAGATGTATTTTAAACAGTGTTGGCCCTGTTCAAAATACATGGTAGCAGATGCAAAAGGGTGGGGAACCATGGAAAGAAAACAGAGGAGTGAGCGTGCCATATGTCTAACTTGTGTCCTCAAATCATTTGGTTTGGTTCAGGTGTTCTGGAGGGAAGATATCTGTTTATCTTTAATGTTATAATAAGACCTAATTACCAGTGCAGTCAGCTTATTTTACATGGAATATGGGGTGCCATCTTGAATGTTGCCTAGAGTAACAGTATATCTTGTGCAAGCCCTGCTCTTGAATCTCACAAGTGAAGGTGACGAGCAATACTTATTGGTTGCCCCTATCTTCTGGTTCTCAAGCTTTAGGCTGTATTTTTAAATATAGAGGTTCTTATTTTATCAACCATGGACCATGTCCGTTGATATACATCTTTTATTAGTTTACCTAGTTTACCTAGTCCTTTAAAAATCATCTAAATTCAGAGCCTCGATCACATCTTGTGAATTTTACAAATGTATTATTTGTTGGGTGAAGGACATCACATATCTGCTTAGATATTCAGTAGGACTTACTCCCAAAGTAAATGTTTTATAATGCTGCAGTTATATTCTGGTAGAGCAGCAAGTACAATGTCACGATGCCAGGGCTCTGTTGATAAAGAGGCAGAGATGAACCAATCAAACTTCCAGTTTGTATTGAACAGTTTAATTAAAGCAGCACTTACTTCATGGCTGTTTTAGTAGTCCAAAATATAAAACATAAAGATAGCACTCAAGTACAGAATATAAAACAAAAAATGTTGAGAGTTCAGTGAGCAGAGTCCAGGGATCAAGAGTATATACCGTAGTCAAAAGCCAGTCCAAAGATTCAAGGTTCCAGCGTTCCAAGGGTTCAGGAGACAGGTCAGAATACCAAAAATCCACAAACCTCGGGGAAAACCAGCAGCATCTACCACCAAGATAAAACAAATACTTTTCTCCCGAAGATCAGTCCCAAGGCTAGCTCATTATATCCAGAAGCAGTGCCATGTGGAGAGACTGCTTCTTTTAGGCTCTCCAAGGATGGATTAAGTTTTCATGTATTGCCATTCTATCTAGAGAAAAGGATGATTCTCATTTGGTTAGAGTTACTTACATGGACCCATGGATACTTCAATCCTAATTTTTTACATGGATATCTAGATACTACAATATCTAGACTTATGCATGACTATACAAGGTAGGTATGATTTAATTATGACAGCATTATAACCATAATCTGGAAAAATTGGACATAGATAACAATCAAATTTTCGCATACCTAGCAGACACACTTGAGAAACTTAAGCAAGAGTTTGTTAATGCATTTTCCTCCAACTCTAGATAGTTTTGCATCTAAAAAGCAAGCTGAACTCAGGTTTAAACTCAACATTTCTAACCAGTTTTACTTTATAAGATGTATCAAAGCTGGCAAGTCCAGAAAATTTAAGAGGAAAGAACTAAGAGTGGGGGAAAATAATTGCTTTGTTTTAAGTAATTCCAGGATTTTACATAATCTCAGCTTCCAATAATGTACAGTATCCACCCATCCTGAAATATCCTGGGACTTTTGTTCATTTCAGAAATCACTACTATTACCACTGGGTTACATTCTGGCTTTCATTTGCTGCAATCCAATTAAGTGTCAGCACCAAAGATATGTTTAAGTAGCATTCTCCCCCCCCCCCCAAAATCTATTCTCTATTTATACATAAGACTGACTTATGCAGAAGTATATATGATATTCTTGAGGCATCACTTACTTCCAAGAAGCCCTCTTACTCCTTAGGAACCCGATCTGATACATAATGACACTACACAATGCTACAGTCCATCGAGATATATTAATTAAATTTAACCCCTTTTAAAAGTAAAATAAGACAGTTGTGCATTATCAGGATTGCTTTAGTTAAAGTGCTGGTTACTTTCAGTTGTCTTGGGGCGCTTCCAAAACAAGACTTAAAACCACTTTGGCTTGGATTTGAGTTCCCACAGCAACACAAAAACCCAGGCTTTCCAGATCTTATTTTTAGATCTGGATCTTACCAGGTATTTAATTAATTCAGAACAAAGCAGGGAAACCTTGCTTTGTTCTGAATTAATTCGGTTTTTACCAAAGGTGTCATTTGGACACCTCTGGCCCATCTGGAAGGGCCCTCAGTTTCATACTCTTGGAAATGCTGCTTATTCAGACACACACTCTTATTCTCTTTTATGAAAATTGATTTTTCTCTTTTCTTTTCAATTCAACCTCTTGTCTATGCATCCATACAATACTAGTGATCATTTAATGAAGTGTTTCTGAAACTCTGCTTCTCCAGATGTTTTGGACTTCAACTCCCACAATTCACAACAGCTGGAGGAGCAGAGTTTCAGAAACACCCATTTGATATAATAAAATTCTCAGCATCTTCTGCCATTTGCTAGAGCTGCCAGGAGTTATTGGTCCATGTTTGAGAGGAGTTAAGTTTCTATTATTCTTGTAAAAAGAAATGCAGATTGTTACATAGCAATGCCAACTGGCTTTCTTTGTACTTTTTGTGATTAAACTAAATTTCTAAGGGCATGTTCATATGAACATGGTGATGAGTGGGGATATCTCCCTTACTAAAAGGTCACTGAGTTCAAAAGGCTTTTCTCTGTTTTCTTTAATTTATCACTTGTTTGAATTGTAGATAGATATGTTTTGACAGGCACTATCAGATTTACTGTCAGAAGAAAGTGTCTAGGTATGAGGACATCAATGGAAGTGTCAGATGGAAACAGAAAGCAGAACTCAGGGACAGCTGTGAAGATACAATATGGAAAGCTTACATTTAGTTACTGACTTCTGTAAAGCTGAGAGCATAATATAGGTATACCAACAGTGCAGTCAAAAATACAACTACAATTGTAAAACCAAGGAAATTTTCATTTTACTTTTATTTAACTCCCTTGGTTAACATGCAGTAATGAGACAAAGATGCCTGGTTTATCATTTTCACACAGCATGCTAGAGTGGCTAAATAAATAACAGTCAGCTCTTCTGCTTATGTTTTGTTTATTGATACACATGAACCAAACTTTGTTTCAAGGGAAGGAACTGGCAAAACCACCTCTAAGCATTTCTTAGCTAGGCAGGCACACATACACACATGAACCAGGAACAGGGGAGGTAAAGCTTTGTATATTCTGTTCTTGCAACTAATTTTAAAAAAAATTATAACTGTCACTATACTGCACAAGATTGTGAGGGTGTGCATGCAAATGTTCAACCACTATTTGCATTTTGGGACTTTTGGAGGAAAACAGCAATTTATGCCAAAACACAGGACACTAGTGCGTGTGTGTGTGTGCGTGTGTGTGTTTGTGTGTGTGTCAGTGATACAAATGGCAGGACTTTACACGAGGGGCAAGGAACTTTGTATTGTCTTTTCTATAACAAGCTCTGGTAAACCATGGCTTTTAACATTAGCCTCTTGTGGAGAGATAAGCCACAGTTCCTGGATTGAAGGTAATGGAAGGTCATCAAGTTTTAATTCAATCTGCTTGAAAAACAACCTAAGCAGTTTTGATTGTGAATATGTGAATATTCAAGTTCCATTATATGCAATGGCATAGTAAAGTGGTGTCCTTCTACCTAGGTTTGCTTTTAGTTTTTGAAAAATATTTTCAAGCTGTGTTTGACTGCTAGATCTAAATCTCTCTGAGTATGCATCTTCAGTGCAACAAGAGCTTGATTGAGGAAATACTTTTGTCGGGTTCTGTTCCAGACCTTAGAAATATTCCTCTGTGGACCACAGCTCCCAGAATCCTTCAGTCTGCATGGCCACTATGATCTAGAATCTAAAGGCTACTACAGGGAGAGATCCACTCCTATGTTACAGCAGCTCTGCTGGCTGCCGATCTGCTTCCGGGCTAAATACAAAGTGCTGGTCATTACCTTTAAAGCCTAAACAGCTCGGGTCCAGGTTATTTGACTAATCACATCTCCTCCTAAAACCAACATGGGCACTACAGTCAGCAGAGGAGGATCTGCTCTCGGTCCTACCCCCCCCCCCCCCCCCCCCATCTCAAGCATGGCTGGTGGAAACGAGAGAGAGGGCCTTGTCCATGATCACTCCCACCACTGGAACTCCCCCCAATAAAGAAATAAAACTGGAGGAGGATTAGATGATGAGAGACTGCTACTAGACCTCTGACTGAAAATTATTGTTTCATTCAGGCTTTGTCATACCATGTTTGCCCAGTTAAGATCACTGGCCACACAATCAACTCACATATCTTAGTTAATTTTCGCTGGTTCCTGTAAATTAATATGGAT